TTTATTTTTCTCTAGGGCCAAGTTATAAATTAGCGCGGACAGAGCATCAGCTTGCTTTAAATCAGATATTGTTTAAAAAGAGTTTGACTTTCTGTCTTTAAATATAATTATATTGTAAGTATCTTCCGTACATAGTTTGGTCATGGTGATTTAATTCTTTGGAATCCCAAGGTCCTTGACAGCATTTCATAAACTGTTTCTGTGTACACTATAATTTAAAATCCACTAAAGCAGTGTGTACATCTCTTCTCTATCCCACAATTAGCTCTGCTGTTTGCCGTAAAAAAAATGATGACTGTTGTTGATCCAGACAATGATTGGCATGAATAAAATATAAATTGTTAAATTTGCTGAAATTGTCGTGGGCCGACAGGCACATGTATCGCAACCCAGCTGTAAATGACAACACAATGTACCAACTGCCCTTTAAGGGTGAAATCAGACGGGGGAAAAACGGTGGGGGGGGGGCACTTAGTGAACGTAAACAGAAACCATAATCTAATCTTTGGCGGTCTAACTAAATTTGAAGCACTTGAGCAACTTTCGAACTTTTGCAGGGGAAACAACTCACCAGCTTCCGCTCGCCTTTATGAACCGACTAGCAGACGTGATTCAGTCAATCGTTCTCAGGACTTCTATTTTCAATAAAATCTCTCTCAGCGCACAGGGGATTGAGCGTTCTGACGGCGCACTAATTGACTGCCGCATTTACCTGTTTGTTTAGCCATCGATTTGTTGTTTTATCGCATTGTTTATTTGGTAACCTAGCCGGGTCATGCGTGTTTATTGTGGAAATGCAACCGTTTTCAAAAGTTTCTCACGGTGCTAGGGATTCCGTTTCTCATAGATAGAGTGATATACCCACTAACGTATAATTCATTGTTTTTATTGCTAAACTAATAAACGCGGTAAGGGTATTTTATTTCATCGTTGAAATGCTGTCTATAACTGTGTGTGCAGTTTTTTTTCTGTCGGGGTAAAAATATAATGAATATAATCCTTATTATTTGTAAGTTGGCGCCTGTGGCTTTTAGGCGATGCGAACGCGCTTCGTAATGCCGGGGTGCCGAGTTCGATCCCAGCTGCGGACGGTTTGTCTTGCGTTGGTTTTACCAGTGGTACCGAGAGCTGAACTTTTAGGTAGCAATGGCAAATTACTGAACGTAAAATTTGCCTAGGAAAAAAAAAAACACAGCAACCGAAAAATGGCTGGGTTTAGTGCTGCAACGTGCTGTAACGGATACGCAACTAACTGTACTAATTTATATGCAGTCCATGACTCTCACTACTAGCTCGATGACTTCCTCAATGTTTCTTTTACTCCTCTCGCTTCTATTGCCCTGTCACATTTGGCATTTTCTCCTCCCGCTCCTTCCCTCTTTTACTTCCTTATTTTTTCCTCTCCTCTCCCTCATACCTTCTTTGTCACTTCCTTATATCTTTTTTTTTTTCAACTCACGACCTCTGTCATTTTCACACATCTTTCCCCCTCCTATCCTCTCTGCCACTTTCTCATTTCTTCTCCTCCTCCTATGCTCTCTGTCACTTCCAAATATTTTCTCTCGCTGATATCTCTACCATTTACACATTTCTTCTCCCACTCCCATCTCTACCAGTTCAAAATTTCTTCTCTCACTCCGTGGCTTCCACATTATGTTCTCATTCTTCTCCTTTCAGTCTCTTCCACACTAATTCTTTTCTTTATTTTTAGCGTTGTCTATCCTTGTTGAATATAATATTGTACCATACAGTTGTTTAATTTATTCTATTGCATCCCGAGGACCCGTTTTAGTGTCTGAGGGATTTCCACATTTTCTCTTAATAATTATGCTGTAGTACCATGAACCTGCCCTTCCTTATTCCCTTTTTACTGTTAGAAATTATGCTGTAGTACCATGAACCTGCCCTTCCTTATTCCCTTTTTACTGTTAGGAATTATGCTGTAGTACCATGAACCTGCGCTTCCTTATTCCATTTTTACTGTTAGAAATTATGCTGTACTACCATGAACCTGCCCTTCTTTATTCCCTAACCCTTTAATAGTACAGTAATCCTCTCATTGTAAGTGCATTTGCTTTGAATTGAAGATTTCTAACTTTTTGTCAGTTTAATCTGGGGTACTGTAGCATTTTCCTAGATATGTTAAATGTTAGTTTTAAATTACTACAGTTTTCTCTCTCTGACTCAGTCTCTCACACTCTCTCTCTCACCTTTTCTCACCCATATTTCATTTGCCCACTCCTCTTTTCCTGCTTCCTCCTCCATCACTTCTCTCTAATTCTCTCTCTCTCTCTCTCTCTCTCTCTCTCTCTCTCTCTCTCTCTCTCTCTCTCTCTCTCTCTCTCTCTTTTCATCCACTACCTCTGCCTAATTTTCCTAACTCCTCTCTTTGCCTTACCCTATTTCACTCACCCCTTTTCTGTCTCTCCCCACCCCTTTCTTTCTGTCTCTTTATTGTATTTCCTCAACTCATCTCTCTCTCTCTCTTTCCCCTCACTTCTCGCTGTCTACCTTCTCTTTTCACCCACCCTTCTCTGTCTGTCCTTTCCTTATCCTCTCTCTCTTATTCCCTCTCATTACTTTTTCCCTAACACTGTCACTCACCCCTTGTCCTTCTCTCAAAACTTTTCTCTCTCTACACCCCTTTATCACTCCATTTCCTTACTTCTCTTACCCACACACATATACACATACATGTACCTACAGTGTACATTAAGCCATCTCCTCACCCCTTCTCACTTTATCTTCACCCTTTTACTACTACTCTCATTTTCACTCTTCCTTTTATCTCTTTCAGAACTCCTCCCTCTCCTTCCCTCATCCTTTTCTCTCCAAAACCCCTCCTTTCATGTCTCTTCCTACCTGTCTGTCTGTCTCTAACACACATATGCACACACATTTTTGTAGCTCAAACCATCTTTCAGCATTTTTGTCCATGATATCTATGTTATGCAGACTTTGAACTGTAATTTCCTGCCATCTTAGCTTCTCTTTTCATGTGCGATCTTAGCCAAATGTTTTGTAAAGCATAGGAACATTTTGGTGATGTGCATCATACAGACACTTAATATTTTTTACTTTTCCGCTGATTCCTAGTTTGTGAGAGTTGGTTATTTTCTGAGAATCTATTTAAACGCATTGCTCTGTTTATTATTCATGTTTTTCTTCTTCTTGTTCGCATTCACCTGCTGGAAACTCCGGTGGAAAGTTATGGTTGTTCATCCACATGTGGAATTTGGTCTTGTTCCAGAAAATGTCTTGCTTGCACATCCAGTTCATGGATCTGGCTTATGTTTTCGCAGACTCTTTGGTTCCTTGCCTCTTAGGCTGCTGCACCCCGACTTCAAATGAAACCCATAATCGACACTTACGGCATGCTTGTTAGGGAAGCAATGGGTTTGATTTTTTCCCCCCCTCCACAATGGGACCCCTTGTGTTCACATGGGGGATTATCGCTGTTTAAATGAGTAATAATGTATTGACTGTATAATAGGGCAGAGCAGGCTCTTAGACTTGGTTTGCAGCTGGTCTAGGAGGGAAGCTTCTGCAGCCTGCTTTTTTTTCCCTATTATACTGGTGTTATCTTTTCTTTGGAGTAAACAAATCAAGCTGAAAGAGGGATCATCCTGTATGAGGAACACAGGGTTTCACAGTAAGTAACTGCCCAAGCTTTGTGCCATGGCTATCCTTATCACTAATGTTAGACAAAGTGGAAATTGAAAAAGAGGCTGATCATGTAACAATGGGTAGATGAAGTGAGAGAGTATCTAGGAATATGAAGCACACAAAGAGACACTTTCATGCAGTTTATAGATGGACAAGATAAGATTTATGTTTCCTTCCCCACCCTTTTCTGAAGATGAGAAGTTGAAATTGTTGATTCCGCCTTTTGCACAATGGCAATAAAAACCTGTGTATGGCATACCAGTAAAGAGATTAAAATAGCAGTTTTGATCATACATTTTTCCTGTCACAGTGTATGGATGTGATTTCTTTCCTGTCACAGTGTATGGATGTGATTCCTTTCCTGTCACAATATATTGATGTTAGCTAAGATATCATATTCATACACTGTGAAAGGAAAGATATCTAATTTTCTTCTTTAGTGATTGCAAAATAGTCCATGAACCCTAAAGAAGAAAAGTGATTTCTTTCCCTGTCACAGTGTGTGGATGTGAGTCGTGGTTTATTTACAATAACTAAAGAAGAAAATTAGTGATGTTTTAATGAAACATTACAAAACAGATTTCTAGAATGTGATGGATTCAGAAGGAAAATATGACTTTCTACAAGATCTTCCTTTTCCTCTTCTTCAGAATTCTGATCACTCGAGTTCACCTGCCTCAGTTTATCTATGTTGGCCTATCACTTCAGTTGGTTTGTTTTTCAGCCCGTCATCACTTCTTGGTCATCCTCATCATCTGGTGCTGTTTAACTCTTTTCTTTTGTGTACGCAGTTTGTGTCTGTTATCCGCAATTATCTTTATGTGCCCCAGCCATTGCAGTTTTTTAGCCATCATGATGCTAGCAATTAGTGTTGTTTACACAGATAATGAATTTCATTATTGCTTCTCACTCACCATTCTTTGCTGTTTGCATCTTAGATGGGTCCAGAATTCATTGTGAGACTGTTTTCAAAAGTATGTAATAAATCTTTGTATTTTAGTTGTACTCTAGGTTTCAGAACCAATTAGACAACTATTCCTATCTGTATTTTATATATTGTGATCTTTGTGTTATGAGATAGAGCATTTTGATGTTGGACAATTTTCAACATTAGATCTCATTAATTGTTGCTGCTTCATAACCATAGATGAGCTTATCAAGTCAGTTAATGCTATTATTCCTTTTTTCTTCTTTGCCTCTCTTTTAGTCTTGTGGACATGAAACTGATAACCTAACAAATGAGATTCTGGAGGAGGAGGAGGATTTCCACTCTTCCAGCAGCATTTTGACAAGCTTCGGTAGCTTTCACTCCACCACTGGAGAAGGAGCCCAAGTCGACACACTTCAGTGGCAACCTCAGCAGTGAGAGTGCTGCATCAATGAAACGGGGAGTTGGTAGTGGCAGCATTAGCAGGACTTCCAACTCCAGCCAATCTGCTCAGTCTTCCAGCTTATTGCCTTTTGTGTCTATGGAGCAGGAGGTTAATGAAATTACCCGGCTGATCCCAGGAGTCCGGCTAGAGCAGGTATTTGCTAATATCTTGTCTTCATTGGTTGTAAACTCTGGCAGAAAGTTGTGGTTGTTTGTAGACCTCTGGACTCTAGATTTGTCCCAAACCTGAATGTTTCAAGCACATTCATTTTACAGATCTGGCTTTATTTTTTTTTTTAAATGTGCAGTCTGCTGATTCCTTTGCCCCTCTAGAGGATACACTCCGACTTCGAAGGATGCCCCCAGATAGTCGACTCCTATGACATGCTTATTGGGGATACAGTGGGTGTTTTCTTGTTTTCCTCACAGTGGGGCTCCTAAACCCAAGCGGAAAATTTTGCTAACATTATGTTTTGCTCTTGATAGAATTAATTCTGGGAGATGGGTTCGATCAGCACTTATTATTGTGCTGTCTGTAAAATTATGGATCTGGAACCATATACCAATGTGATAGTGGTAAAGTAACTGAAGGACATTTGTCAGGCCAGTGACCCAGGGGACATATGATGCTATACTTATATTTGTTATAGACCTGTCGGCACTCGCTGGGTGATGTAAGCCTCGCTAGGTGATGTAAGCCTCGCTAGGTGATGTAAGCCTCGCTGGGTGATGTAAGCCTCGCTGGGTGACGTAAGCCTCACTGGGTGATGTAAGCCTCCCTGGGTGATGAAAGCCTCTCAGGGTGATGTAAGCCTCACTGGGTGATGTAAGCCTCTCAGGGTGATGTAAGCCTCCCTGGGTGATGAAAGCCTCCCTGGGTGATGTAAGCCTCGCTAGGTGATGTAAGCCTCGCTGGGTGATGTAAGCCTTGCTGGGTGATGTAAGCCTCCCTGGGTGATGTAAGCCTCCCTGGGTGATGAAAGCCTCCCTGGGTGATGAAAGCCTCGCTGGGTGATGTAAGCCTCGCTGGGTGATGTAAGCCTCGCTGGGTGATGAAAGCCTCCCTGGGTGATGAAAGCCTCGCCGGGTGATGAAAGCCTCCCTAGGTGATGAAAGCCTCCCTGGGTGATGAAAGCCTCCCTGGGTGATGTAAGCCTTCCTGGGTGATGTAAGCCTCCCTGGGTGATGAAAGCCTCCCTGTGATATGAAAGCCCCGCTGGGTGATGTAAGCCTCCCTGGGTGATGAAAGCCTCCTTGTGTGATGTAAGCTTCACTGGGTGATGTAAGCTCCACTGGGTGATGTAAGCCTCGCTGGGTGATGTAAGCCCCGCTGGGTGATGTAAGCCTCTCAGGGTGATGTAAGCCTCTCAGGGTGATTTAAGCCTCTCAGGGTGATGTAAGCCTCCCTGGGTGATGTAAGCCTCTCAGGGTGATGTAAGCCTCTCAGGGTGATGTAAGCCTCTCTGGGTGATGTAAGCCTCTCTGGGTGATGAAAGCCTCTCTGGGTGATGAAAGCATCGCAGGGTGATGTAAGCCTCCTTGTGTGATGTAAGCCTCCTTGTGTGATGTAAGCCTCTCAGGGTGATGTAAGCCTCTCAGGGTGATGTAAGCCTCTCAGGGTGATGTAAGCCTCTCAGGTTAATGTAAGCCTCTCAGGGTGATGTAAGCCCCGCTGGGTTATGTAAGCCCCGCTGGGTGATTTAAGCCTCTCAGGGTGATTTAAGCCTCTCAGGGTGATGTAAGCCTCTCAGGGTGATGTAAGCCTCTCAGGGTGATGTAAGCCTCTCAGGGTGATGAAAGCCTCTTAGGGTGATGAAAGCCTCCCTGGATGATGTAAGCCTCTCAGGGTGATGTAAGCCTCTCAGGGCGATGTAAGCCTCTCAGGGCGATGTAAGCCTCTCAGGGCAATGTAAGCCTCTCAGGGCGATGTAAGCCTCTCAGGGCGATGTAAACCTCTCAGGGCGATGTAAGCCTCTCAGGGTGGTGTAAGCCTCACTGGGTGATGTAAGCCTCTCAGGGTGATGTAAGCCTCTCAGGGTGATGTAAGCCTCTCAGGGTGATGTAAGCCCCGCTGGGTGATGTAAGCCCCGCTGGGTGATGTAAGTCCCGCTGGGTGATGTAAGCCCCGCTGGGTGATGTAAGCCCCGCTGGGTGATTTAAGCCCCGCTGGGTGATTTAAGCCCCGCTGGGTGATTTAAGCCTCTCAGGTGGATTTAAGCCTCTCAGGGTGATGTAAGCCTCTCAGGGTGATGTAAGCCTCTCAGGGTGATGTAAGCCTCCCTGGGTGATGTAAGCCTCTCAGGGTGATGTAAGCCTCTCAGGGTGATGTAAGCCTCTCAGGGTGATGTAAGCCTCTCAGGGCGATGTAAACCTCTCAGGGCGATGTAAGCCTCTCAGGGTGATGTAAGCCTCTCAGGGTGATGTAAGCCTCTCAGGGTGGTGTAAGCCTCCCTGGGCGGTGTAAGCCTCTCAGGGTGATGTAAGCCTCTCAGGGCGGTGTAAGCCTCTCAGGGTGATGTAAGCCTCTCAGGGTGATGTAAGCCTCTCAGGGTGATGTAAGCCTCTTAGGGTGATGTAAGCCTCTTAGGGTGATGTAAGCCTCTCAGGGTGATGTAAGACTCCTGCTGGCTGCCTTTGCTCCCTAGGACAAAGAAAAAAAAATAGACCCCCAGCCTCTCTGACAAGCATGTCATACAAGGTGTGATTAATTCGGGAAGTTTTTTTTGAAGTCGGAGTGCATTCGCAGGACGGCGAGGAATCCTCTGGTATGCATACAGATAAGCCAGATGGATGTGCATAAAACTTCTGAAACAAGACCAAACTGCAGAAGTGGACCAAAACTTTCCATCAGATTTTGCAGCTGATGAACGCTAAGAAGAAAAAAAGATCTAAAACCAAAGTAAGTTTTGAAGAAGAAGTAAAAAGTGCCTGTATGCAGATCAGAACCCCAAGATCTTTGGGCTGATATGCTACCAGGAATCCAAAGAGCCAAGGGTTTTTAAAAGTAGTCCTTTTTTTTTTTTTTTTCTTATACTTTAGTTTCTGTTGTTTCAGTATTCACCTTCTGCCTTTAACTATTCTCCCAGTGAAGTGTAGGCCCTGGACAAACTCACAACAGGGTGGGCGTTTATGTGATGGATTGGGCTCAGCAGTCAGTTAATTCACGGAATGAGGTAGCAAGTCTCAAGCTAGCCTCCTTCCTCAACCCTTCCTTTTAAATTTCCTCATATATGTGGGGTGGGGGGGGGGGGGGGGGGGTTAGACCCGCTGTCCTCTAAAAAGCCTGCTGTAAAAGGTGACTGGCTGGGATTTTACTGAATTCAAACGATGAGCAGATATCGCAGCCTAGCTTCTAACTCTAACACAGTGTGCCAGTTACCCTTTTTAAGGGCAAACACAGAAGAAGAGGAATCACTTTATAGCATGAGTGGTAGATTGCAGTGTTATTATTCTTTGCTTCTTTGATGGGCCCTTGTTAGAGTCAGTGAGAGAAATATCGTACCAGACTACTACTATGTTGTGTTTTGTTAAGTTTCCTATTGAGTCGTCTCATTCACATTTCAGTTGGTCGATATATCCAGTTGTTTTCATTTTGATTCTTTCTTTCTTTCTTCATTTTCTTGCATGTATTTTTGTTTTATTTCTTTATTTCTTTTTAATTTTGCGATAGTTATTCAGCATTGTTTGGTCTCTTCTAGGCTGACATAACACAACGCATATGTAGCTTCAAACTGTCCAGAGGTCAGAACTGTGTGGATATTGAGCTGGTATTTCCTGATAACTACCCAGTCAAAGTAGGCCCCTCACTGACCATCCTGCAGTCCAACCTGGATTCGGACACGCTGACCCGGCTTGTCAAGGTAAGTCGGAGCATCCTGTTGTTGTTGGTTTAGTTGCTGTTGTTTAGACTTGCCTGTAAAATCTTGTATATTTAGATAAGTAGATAGTAATGGACAAACCATAAAAGAAAATTAGTAACCACGGAAATGAGATGTCTGAGAAGGGCTGTAGGAGTGACCATAAGAGATAAGATCAGGAATGAGATCATAAGAGAACAAGTCGGCACAGAACCAATTCTGGATTACATACAAAGACAGCAAGTGAAATGGTTTGCCCACTTAGAGAGAATGCCTTGTGACACCATACCATACAAAGCATACATGGAAAGAGAAGAAGGACGTAGAGCACGGGGTAGACCAAGAACAAGATGGAAGGATAACATCAGAGAAACTCTACAACAGCACAATGTGCCTATGGTCGAGGCAGCCAGAAGAGCTAGAAACAGAACCTTATATCTCCCTCGACACCCACAGCGGTAAAAGAGGAAGTGAAGAAGAAGATAGTAATGGGGATTTAATACTGAATATTGGGCATCATATACCAAACCTAATATCCCATTTGTGCCAGTGGCTTTAGATGGGGGAATGCATTGAGAAGGATACTTTACCTTATCCTAGGATGAGAAAATGCTGCCTGAAAACATAATGTTATGACAGGGCAGACTAGGCCCTTAGCCATGGTTGGCGTTTGCTTGAGGAAGAAAGTTCTGACAGATGAACAAGAAAGAAAACTGACTATCTTCTGATTGACAGAAGCACTGTAGCCAACCTTTATTGTGGAGATGGCAGAGAATTTAGTTCTATTTAATCTCTCTCTCTCTCTCTCTCTCTCTCTCTCTCTCTCTCTCTCTCTCTCTCTCTCTCTCTCTCTCTCTCTCTCTCTCTCTCTCTCTCTCTCTCTCTCTCTCTCTCTTTCTCTCTTCTCTCTCTCTCTCTCTCTCTCTCTCTCTCTCTCTCTCTCTCTCTCTCTCTCTCTCTCTCTCTCTCTCTCTCTCTCTCTCTCTCTGTGTGCGTGCTGCCTTCTTTAAATCTTCAACTGCAAGGATATTTAGCTGGACATTCCCAAGGTAAGAATAATCACAATAAACATAAACAAAGTAGGAGAGCATAACTGTCCTAGATGCAGCAAACATATAGAGAGTTGGGCAATTGGATATCTAGCCAGATTTCTGTAGTATGATTAGTCTAACGACCAGCCACACCATTGGTTATTTGGTGCACATGAAAAATACCCGGTCACACATGCCGTTTTGATTGGGACTGAAAGATTTGTTTCAAAAACCAACAAACTTGTAATTGTTTTATTTCTGCAGATCTTCAATGATACCGCTGCCCGACTGGTCAAGCAAAATATCTACTGTGTGGAACCTTGTGTCAGGCAAATTATGCTCTTCATGGAGAAGTTGGGATCCTCCGGCAGTGTTCAAGACACATCCCAGCATGTAAGTTCATCTGTGTTTTAGGGGTCATGGGGATACTTACACTCTATATAAGTTTGTTGTCTGTGAATCTATTTATAAACATCTCTTCGTTAGTTTGTGTACACTCCATATATTATGGTCTGTAAATCTGTTTATAAACATCTCTTCATTAGTTTGTGTACACACTATATATTGTGATATGTGTATCTGTTTTTGATATCTCTTCATTAGTTTGTGTACACTCTATATACTGTGGTCTGTGAATCTGTTTATAAACATCTCTTCATTAGGTTGTGTAAACTCTATATTGTGGTCTGTGAATCTGTTTATAAACATCTCTTCATTAGTTTGTTTACACTCTATATACTGTGGTCTGTGAATCTGTTTATAAACATCTCTTCATTAGTTTGTGTACACTATATATTGTGGTCTGTGAATCTGTTTATAAACATCTCTTCATTAGTTTGTGTAATCTCTGTGTGGGTTCTGGTGTCCCATGAGGGGGGGGGGGGAGGTGATGGGGTGGGGGAGTGAGAGAGAGAGAGCGAAAGAGAAGAACAAACACACAGCAGGTACACTGCCACTTAATAAGCATGAAGGGAAAGCAGCTAACAAAGGGTTTGCTAAAAATGAATGTGTTGTGCCAAAAAAATGCATAGATATCACAGTCTAGCTGTAAACAACACAATGTGCCATCTGACCTTTTTAGGGCAGATGGTGAAAAAGAAGAAATTTGTGTTAGAAATTTTTTGTTGTTTTTTGTTTTAGCATGAAGACAGGAAATCCATGCTTGACAAGAAGTACATTGTGGAAAAGGTACGAACCCCAACCAGCCCTGTCTCGCAGAACAGTGTCATTCCGATGTATCCCACCGGCAGTTTTCAAGACTTGTACATTCCATTTCCCAAAACCTGCGGTGGCACATTTTGCTCAAATGGTGAGTGTTATTCTTGTCTTTGTTTTTTTAGCTCTTCATCTCCAATAGGTAGTTAGCTGTATAGCATCTATGCTAAAAATGCCTGGGTCAGCCTGTAACATGCTTGCTAAAGATACCTTGTTTGGTCTGAAATGTGTATGCTAAAAGTACCTTGGTCATGCTGTGATATCCATTCTAAAAATATCTGGGCCAGCCAGCGTGTAACATCCATGCTAAAACTACCAGGGCCAGCGTGTAACATCCATGCTAAAACTACCAGCGCCAGCGTGTAACATCCATGCTAAAACTACCAGGGTCAGCGTGTAACATCCATGCTAAAACTACCAGGGTCAGCATTAACATCCATGATATAAGTACCTGGGCCTGCGTGTAACATCCATGCTAAAACTACCAAGTCCAGCCTGTAACATCCATGCTAAAACTACCAGGGCCAGCGTGTAACATCCATGCTAAAACTACCAGGGACAGCGTGTAACATCCATGCTAAAACTACCAGGGCCAGCGTGTAACATCCATGCTAAAACTACCAGGTCCAGCGTGTAACATCCATGCTAAGACTACCAGGGTCAGCGTGTAACATCCATGCTAGAATTACCAGGGCCAGCGTGTAACATCTATGCTATAAGTACCAGGGTCAGCATGTAACATCCATGCTAAAACTACCAGGGTCAGCGTGTAACATCCATGCTAAAACTACCAGGGTCAGTGTGTAACATCCATGCTAAAACTACCAGGGTCAGCATGTAACATCCATGCTAAAACTACCAGGGTCAGCATGTAACATCCATGCTAAAACTACCAGGGTCAGCATGTAACATCTATGCTATAAGTACCTGGGCCAGCATGTAACATCCATGCTAAAACTACCAGGGTCAGCGTGTAACATCCATGCTAAAACTACCAGGGCCAGCGTGTAACATCCATGCTAAAACTACCAGGGTCAGCATGTAACATCGATGCTAAAACTACCAGGTCCAGCGTGTAACATCTATGTTTTAAGTACCTGGACCTGCGTGTAACATCCATGATATAAGTACCTGGGTCAGCGTGTAACATTCATGCTAAAAATACCTGGGTCAGTCTGTAATATATATGCTAAAAGTACCTGGGCCAGCCTGTAACATCTATGCTAAAAGTACTGGGTCAGCCCGTAACATCTATGCTAAAAAATACCTTTGTCAGCCTGTCACATTTATGCTAAAAGGAGCTGGGTTGACCTGTAACCTCTGTGCTAAGAGTACCTGGGTCAGCTTGTAACATCAAAGCTAAAAGTAATTGGGTCAGGCTGTAACATCCATGCTAAAAATACCTGGTATACAGCTGTTTACTAAAGTTGTATGATTTATAGCTAGTTACTAACTTAAGTGGGTTACAGCTGGTTGTTAAAGTAAAATGAATCAGGGCAGATGATCTTGGATGTGGTGAGTTTCTGCTGTAAAGAATAGTTTATCCCCTGCAATTTTTCTTGCTTGAATTAATATCCTGATAAGAGGACTTTCTGATAAGAAGAACCATTTCTTGTCCCCGTTGAGTTATCCTTATTTGGTCTGCACTCTATACTGGTTGTTATAATTATAAAATGTATAGCTGATTGTTAAAATTTAATTATATACATCTGTTTGCTAAAGTTAAATGACATATAGTTTGTTGCTAAAGTTTAATAGTACATAGCTGGTTGCCAAAGTGAAATTTTTTCTGTTGCTTTCTATGTTTGGACAGATTACCTGATAGTGTTTGGTGTCTCAGTGGCGATGAAGAAAGTCCATGAAGACAATGAAGTGACCCCCAGGTAGGCCGTCAGTTTGTCAGATTTACACACATCACTGCCTTAGGCACACCACCAGTTCTGTGGCAGCCAGCCACCCACAGTTTTCTAAATGTGCAGCTTACAGCACAAATCCCCAGGAGCACGGTCAAAATGAATTCCACGTGAAATCCACATCTCTGCCCATGTGGGTTCTGGGGCTTCATTGTGGGGAAAACAAGAATAGACCCACTGCCTCCCCCAATAAGCATGTTGTAAGAGTCGATTAAATGGGAACTTTCTTTTGAATTGGGAGTGCATCTGAGACAAGTAACCAACAATCTGCATACACATAAGTCAGATCTGTAAAATGGATCTAGGCAACACTTAGGTTCTGAAACAGGACTAAGATCCAGAGGTGGATGAACAACCAGAATTTTCAGCTGGAGTTTACAGTCGATGAAAGGTGAAGAAGAAGAAAAAAGATAAACCCACAGCTCACTCAACTCTAAAACCCACTGGCATTAAGAAAAGTCTTTCACAATTAGAGCTAGGTATGTCAGGACTATTGTTGCTATGGCATACATTTAATGTATTCTTTTTTAGACGATCAGCTCCTAACCTGTCAGCCTCATTTTATCCTTTATCCCTGTTATCTTCCTCATGGATTTTTTCTGTTCACTTGGCCTCCAGTAATTTCCTCTGGTCTCTGCGTAGTGAAATCGGACGCACATGTGTATTCTTGCCCACGTTTAAAAAAAAAATCTCTCCGGGCAAAATTTGGAGTTAAAAATCTACCCAAAATATTTCAGGATCCTCGCCGGTGCTACAGAGCCTGTGCACTGCGCTGAGCTACTTCGGACTCAGACTTGAGTTAGAAGTAGAATGGAGCACTTATGGGTTACTACCCTTGTGCCATGATGTTGTTCCATTGTTCAAACTTCAAACTTCATCTTCCTGATTAGTCCGTTTATACTTTATCGTATTTTCAGTATTGATAATAAACCTTTTGCCGGCTTGCTAGGCTGTTGCAACTTTACCAAGGCATCATTGGCCAGGACATTTCAGGGTGACCCTAGATGACCTTCATGGGCTACCATTTATGCCAGATGGTTTGCCAACTTAGAAAGAATGCCTTGTGATGCCATACCATACAGGGCATACAAAAAAAAAAAATCTACAACAGCACAATCTGTCTGTGGCCGAGGCAGCTAGAAGAGCAAGATGCAGAACATTATATCTCCCTTGACACCCACAGCGATAGAAAAGGGAGTAAAGAAGAAGATTCCTGATTGTTCCCCCTTTACACAACATGGTCCATGGCATCCTGTTCCCAAATATCTGAGTTCCCCCTTTACTCAATATGGTCCCTGGCATCCTGTTCCCAAATATCCGAATCAACACCTGTATCATATTTACCTAGTATATAGAATCTATTTATTTTCAGAGCCCTGTCTGATCTTGTCACATACATGGTACCTCAGTCACACTCCCAGTGGATGAGGTCACAGTCAAACTCATTTGTATCTTCATTATTGTATGGAAGCCCACCTCAGCCGGTCTCAGAGGGCATCAGTGTTAGCAGCTTCTATACTGAAAAGGTAAGGAAACTTCGGCATGCTCTTATTTGTATGTCTGTGTAAATGCATCTGTCTGTCTGTCTCAGTGTTTGTCTGTGTGTCCTCCTGCCTTTTTCAGCGGCTCCCAGTTTCCTAAGAACTGCGGCTCCCTCTTATTTTCAAAAAGTCTGCCACAGGTCCAATAATTTTTAATACTGTATTTACCCCCCAAAAAATAAAACCTCGCACAATTTTTCATGATGCTTTTAATATAAGCCCTGTCCCAATAATAAGCCCTTGTTAAGGAAGTCATGACTTGGGTGTAGAATTAACAGGATACAATCACTGACAGTTGTGCTAACAATGCACTACGAGCAGGCTACGTGAACAAGAAATGCTCATTAAGGTAAGCTTTAATGCTGGAATGCTGTACCGCATGTATTCTTGCATGAGCTTCCTGCGTGGCTTGTTATGATCTTGAGCTACAACTCAAAACAGGGTCATCACAGCTGCTGTGGTGCTCAAGACAGGGTCATCACAGCTGCTGTGTTCCACAAGACAGGGTCATCACAGCTGCTGTGGTCTCAAGACAGGGTCATTACAGCTGCTGTGGTCCTCAAGACAGGGTCATTACAGCTGCTGTGGTCCTCATGACAGGGTCATCACAGCTGCTGTGTTCCACAAGACAGGGTCATCACAGCTGCTGTGGTACTTTAGACAGGGTCATCACAGCTGCTGTGGTCTTCATGACAGGGTCTGGTCCTCAAGATAGGGTCATCACAACTTCTGTGGTCCTCAAAACAGCAGAAGTTATAGAAGCAAAATCTTTTGTTGTTGTTGTTGTACATGATGTTGAAATCCTGTATCAATCCTTGATGGTAAATCGGATGCCCAGCCTGCTGAAATAATGCCCACAAAATGAAATGCGCCATGTCCATAGGGATATGTTTAAAGTCATTTAATTGAGAGGGAAACAGTAAACCTTGATTAGCTGTTGACCTCTACAACAAAACTGCCAAAGCTTAAGTCATTTCCTTTGCTTTTGTCAGTTCTAATCAGTACATGTTAATTCTTGATTGAGATTTTTTGAAGAAAACTCATCATCATTATTTGGGCTGTGAAAAAATAGTTGAAACTGTTTGTTTTAATTTTAGACCAACAAAAACAGACACCATCGAAACAGCCATCACAACCATCAGAAATCCTTGAGCCGGTCGCGAGACAGCATTGATGGCAGACGCGACAGAGAGAGGGAGACAGAGAGAATCAGCAAGAGAATGCAGAAAGTGGGCTACGTCCGGGTCTATGACATTTCCATTATCAATCCAGTCTCTAAATTTCTAGCAGAAAACTATAAGTAAGTTGACTAGACTTTCACTTTGCTAACCTTTTGCAATAAATTTCCTATTTTTGATTTTTGAATTAGAGAAAATGTCATTGTGTTTTTTTTTTTTTTTTTTATAATTCTACCCGAGAAAGCAAAGGCACACAATCTTGCTTTTATTTAATGACTACATTTAAAAATAATTTTGATAAATGTCTTGTTCCTAGGTAAGAAATTACAAAAAGTTAATAGTTATGTTACATTTCTGTCATTACATTTTAATATAGCTAATTTTTCCAAACGTGTAAACTGATCAAATCATGCCTAACTCATTCACCACTAAACAGCGCACCATGTGTTTATTAGGCCAAATTTATGTAATATTTTAAACTCTTTGTTTCCCCTTACCAGTTGTTACTTTTAACTTTCTCTACCTATGTTGTCTCTTTCAAACTGTTTTTTTTTTTCATGTTGTCATTATTTTCACTTGTTTAGACCATAAAATTTACTTAAAGATTCAAGTTATCAGTTAAGGTAGTATCAACTTGGGATGAAAGAGTTGAATTGACACAGAGACAGGACTTAAGATCTAAATGAAGACATGAACATCGGCAAAATATGTTTGTTATCACACAACTTTCTGTGGCTTTGGAGTTGTGAGCGCACTTCAGAATTCTGAGGTACCCAGATCGCTTTGTGCTGATTTTGACAACACTGTCAAGAGCCGACAGGCCCGGCTCTCTAGCTAAGTTGATTAAACCTGACTTTCGCGGTGGCCAGGTGACGAACTCCTTGTGGTGCGGGTTCACTCCCGGGCGTAGGCAGAAAAGCCACATTTCTCCCAGATTTACGGTATTTACAATGGAATCAAGGCTGAAGGGTTGCGATATCCATAGTACCGAGCCAAAGGGTTTACAACTCATGGTTTCTGGATACGTTTAAAAAAAAAAAATCATAAAATTGCCTGATAAAAACCATACAACCACCACCCCCCACCCCTCCCCCCTAAAGGTTGTGGTTGGTTCTGCAGCAACATCTTATAAGAGATATGCAGCTAATTTTTTTCTCACAGTCATTGTCACTTTACATCATTAAGTTTGTTTGTTTGTTTTCTGCCAGGCTAGACCTTACTGACATTCCAGGCACATGTGAACACAATGCAAACACAGCCTCAAAAATAGGCCGGAAGGACTTGGTTCAGGTTTGTCAGATTCTGGTTTTTTTTATTTCCCTTTGTTAACAGTATTTTTTTTTTTACTCACATGATCATGCATTTTCTGAAACCTTCTTTCCTTTCCAGGCGCCTGATTGTGACTTCCAAGTTATTTACCATATGCTCACCAGGTACCTGTTGAAATATACAGAGTCAATCTAAGTTATCATGGGCATCTCACATAAACAGAAGGATCTTGTGATTACACTTAGCTTTCCAGGGTTTGACGTGCACTGTAGCAAGAGGCAGTGTGATGCTGTTTATGAGCAGCTTCTCCTTGATGTTCAGGTCATGCAGGATGTCCGTGTTTTTCTTGTTCTTGGTCCAAGGTATCCTAAGAAATTTTCTCTAGCATTAAAGTTCTAAATCTGCAGTTTTCTTGTATAAAGACTGAGTGAGAATCCACGACTCACATCCATAAGTTGCCAAGGAAAGATGCATGATCTCAAAATATTTACTTTAACCTGCTTGCAGATGTTGTGCTGTAGGTTCTTCATGCTGCATAGCCTCTGAATTGCTAAAGCAAGTCTTTTTCTGACTTCTTTTGCAGTCTTATCTTGTTATTCATTATTGAGCCTAAATATTCAAAATCTGTCCCATATTTAATCTCTTTGTTGTCAATTTTAATACGTAGTTGGCGGGGTGGATTAATTGTGGACATTTAGTTTTAACCAGATTCAGAAATAGATTCTCTTCTCCAGCGTTCTTTTTCGTTGGTCAAAATTAATTTTTCTATGCCTTGTACACTGTTGGAAAGAAGAACTGTTTGGAGTGTTGAAGCATAACGCAGAATTTGATGCAGATTCAAGGTCCATAGTCTTGGTTGGCTACTGCTTTATGAGGGAAGCTTCGACAGGCAGACGGAAAGAGAAGTGCTCTTCTAGTCTGACATATTCTGCAGGTTGCTTTGTCGCTGACTTATTATTGTTACCACTCCTTTGGAGTCATAAAATCAGGCTGAGCAAGGGATCATGCTGCACAAGCAACACGTGATCTGTTCATGTTGCACAAGCAAAACATGATTTTTACAGTACTGCTGAGGCTTTGTTACCTGTCCTTTGGAGTCATCAAAGGAGCCTGAGTAAGGGATCATGCTGCACAAGCAAAAGATGCTCTCTACAGTACTTCTGAGGCTTTGTTACCTGTCCTTTGGAGTCATCAAAGGAGCCTTAGTGAGGGATCATGCTGCACAAGCAAAAGATGCTCTCTACAGTACTTCTGAGGCTTTGTTACCTGTCCTTTGGAGTCATCAAATCAGGCTGAGAGAGGGATCATGCTGCACAAGCAAAAGATGCTCTCTACAATACTGCTGAGGCTTTGTTACCTGTCCTTTGGAGTCATCAAATCTGGCTGAGAGAGGGATCATTGCTGCATAGGCCTTGTGCTGTGGAGAGAAGGAACTTAACCCCTGTCCTTTAACTGGTAACGCCAATGGCTGTAATTTTCATGCCCTTTCTGTATATAGAACAAGGGCATACTATCTGGAAATGAAAGGGTCACAAATTAGCCAGGCAGGTCTGTCTTAATTTGGTCCTTCGAGGCACCCATCTTTCACACAGCTGTTGTATTTTAAAAATAAAGCATGGAAAGTTGGAAGGTGCTACCCATTAGGGCTTATTTTATAAAGTTCAACTACTTGTGGGGTCTCTATTGAACTGCTTTATTTATCCCTGCATGGTTTTCGTAGCCCTATTATGGGAAAAACAAGAACAGACCCACTGCCTACCCAGTGTAAATGTCAAAAGAGTCAGCTTTCTGGAAACTCCCTTCAAAGGGGCAGTGCATCTCCCTAAGAGGCAAAGAACTAACAATCTGCATCAAATCAGATCTGTAAAATGGATGTGCACGCAAAATTCAGGTTCTGGAATCGTTCTTCTTCGTGTTCGCCGGCTGTAAACTGCGCTGGAAAAGTTCTGGTTGTTTGTCCACTTCTGGACTCTAGTCCTGTTTCAGAAACTGAGTTGAGTGTACATCCGTTGTACAGGTCTGAGTTATTTGCATGCAAACTGATAGTTTCTTTCCTCTCTGACAGATGTACTCCAACTTTGAAGGAAGCTCCCAATTCGTCGACTCGCACGACATGCTTTTGGGCATGCAGTGGGTCTATTCTTGTTTTCCCCACAATAGGGCCCCAGAACCTACACGATGTAGGTTCTGGAATAAAACTAAAGTCAAGAGGTGGATGAACAACCAGAACTTTCTGCTGGAGTTTACAGCCGGTGAGCGCAAAGAAGAAGAACTTCTTTAGACCTGGATGTTATACCCCTGCGTATAAGGGGTGTTAAAGTATCAACTGGCAGCCATGGTACCTAGTGGCGAGACACTTGCCTGCCAATCTGAAGGCCTTAGGTTTAAAATCCAGACTGGACTGCCTCTCAGATCAATCCAGTCTAAAATAAGTACCAGGAAATATTTGAAGTGAAGGTGGCTGGTATGATTTTGATTGATCACATCACTCATCAATGTCCAATAGACTTATATACAAATGTGTCAAGCATCACATATCTGGTGCGGAAATGGCTTGAAAATAAAGTTTGTTTGTTCTTTTAATTAATAGCTGTCATACCCTACGCCGCCCGGACTTCAGGTTTCTTTGTAACTGTCCAGTTGTTAGATATAACCTTACGGCTGAACAAGGTTTCTGGGATTTGTGTCTAGGGGGGTTTTCAACCGAATAATGACCCTTTGGGTCACCTAGATTAAATTTCTTTGTGTGCTGTCATAATGGGGTTCAACTTCACTCATAGTTTTTTTTTTTTAAATCCACTGCTGCTTGGTACTCAGAGAGTTTAAAGCCTACTTATTCTTTTTTTTCCCTCTGCTTCTTCTACTTCTTCCTCCTCCTCCTCTTCTTCATAGTGTTCACTGGCTGTAAACTTCAGCGGGAAGTTATGGTTGTTTGTCCACCTCTGGACTTTGGTCTTGTTTCCAGGAATTAATTTTTCTGTGCACACCATTTTACAGATCTGTCTTATTTGTATGTTGACTGTTGGCTCTTAGCTCATACAACTGCTGTGTGAAAGATGGGAGTTTGGAAAAGCCATTTCAGGCCTGCTTGCCTAATTTGTAACCCTTTGAAAATAAAGTTCGTTCGTTCGATCGTTCGTTCGTTCAGGCGGATGCACTCCTATTAATAGATAACACCCCTTATTAGTCATGGGGGGGGGGGGGGGGCATGCTTGTTGAGTGGAATGAGGTAGTGGGTGTTATTCTCATCCTCCCCCCTCCCCCCACCCCCAAACGGGTCCCTGAAACCCATAAGAGGATAAAGCTTATTTGACTAAGGGACTTGCTTTGCCGTTTCAGGTGTGGCTTCTTATCAGACAGATGACGCATCCCAGTTTAAAGCCTTCACCCAATGTAGACCAAGGTCCTCCCTGGGCCTTTTATCCATTTGGTCGGCCTCTAGTCAATAAATTGTGAGTATTGAGTTTATTTTATAGTAATTGTTGGGAAACACCCGTGGTGTAGCGGCTAGGCACTCGCCTGCGGACCTGAGGGTCATGGGTTCAGGTCCTGACAGAGCTGCTGGGCCTTGGCTCCCAGGTTGACCCAGTCTTAAATGGGTATCAGGTACAGTCATGGGAAGTAAAGGTGACCAGCATTATGTTGACCACATCACCGACAGAATGCTGATTGGTCTTTAAAATTGGTCTAGCCCTATGTACCCAATACACCTAAAGTCGTGAAAAAAGGGTCCTTTACTTGTTACTATAGTAGATAAGTTTTTCAGGATACGAGTGTCCCTGGAGACCAGTTTTTCAGGATACGAGTGTCCCTGGAGACCAGTTTTTCAGGATACGAGTGTCCCTGGAGACAAGTTTTTCAGGATACGAGTGTCCCTGGGGACAAGTTTTTTTCAGGATACGAATGTCCCTGGAGACAAGTTTTTCAGGATACGAGTGTCCCTGGAGACAAGTTTTTCAGGATACAAGTGTCCCTGGGGACAAGTTTTTTCAGGATACGAATGTCCCTGGAGACAAGTTTTTCAGGATACGGGTGTCCCTGGAGACAAGTTTTTCAGGATACAAGTGTCCCTGGAGACAAGTTTTTCATGATATGAGGACAGGATTGCAAATCTGTTTAGCCTCAGAAGTTGAGGCGAAATCCAGGAGGTGAGCTGGAGTGATCAGCAGGTTGTGTCCAGCTTCAAGAAATTCTACACAGAACACCCTTTCAGACATTGCCTGGCCAAAACCAGGGAAGAAGATAAAAATTAAGTTTACTGTATTAGTGATTATGAAGTTATTCCCTCTACCTGCAGTTCCCTAGCCATTTCTGACTGGCCTATATATTAAGTTATTGAAGAGTTTGCATGTTTTTTTTTATGTTAAATTATCAGTTTGTTTATTAAATTTGTTTTTTCAATAATTTTTTTATATTTATTTTTGTAAACAGTGCAGTTAATTTTGAAAGCACAGTTGAAAAGAAACTAAAAGGAGGATTTTTGGAGGGCTTAAAGGAATTAAAATTAATTAAATTGTTTGTATTGAAAAAATTGTTTAAGGATACAGGTTATTCAGCTTATGAGCTCAATCATGGAACAGATTAAATTTGCAATTCGAGGTTCCACTGTACTAGAAATGTTCTAGAACAGTGTTTCCCATTTTGTGGTCCATCAACTCCCCGGGAGTCTGTGGTGTTAACAGGAAACTCTAAACTTTAAAATGACATTTTTGGGGGTTTATTTTTCTTTCTTGTCATCTTTTCTCTACTTATGGAATGTCAGGGCAGGAAGATAGTTAGTTAGTTAGTTAGTCGACAGATTATCCTCATTGCACGTCGAACCACTCAGTTCATAAGTGCTCGGATCCCCTCCTCAGTAAATCCCGCAGCGTGTAGCGGCTAACGACACCAGTTCTGTGTTGGTTTATTCTTCTTCTTTGGCTACCCTAGTAGTAAGTATTCTTTTTTTGGCGACACCAAATTTAACATGTTGTTCTTGCAGTCTGACCATGGTTGCAGTTTCACAGTTCTCAGTTGGTTCACGCAAACGTCTTAACTCTCTAAGCACATTCAGTATATCAGCCTGGTCCATGGCTTGTCCGGCTTCACAGTAGCCTTACCTGCAAGCCTGTCAGTGCAAGTCTATCAGCTTCCTCATTTCCTTGTACCCCCACATATCCTGGCATGAAAATGAAACTAATCCTTGTCAACCGTGAATTCTGTAGAGTCACCAACCACTGCCTTCGGACCCAGCCCTTCTCTATCTTCCTGAGCATACTCATCGAGTCACAGAGAAAGCATTCCCCAGTGAAAGCCTCTGTCTCTAGCCATGTTACTGCTTTAGTTACAGCCATGACCTCCATAGTCAGACTACTTGTAGTTACGGCAAAAGCTCCAGAATCTTCCTTCACAACTCCTCCCTCCAAACTGAGCTGTGAAAGCCCACGAGCTTCTAACGTGGCGGATTACAGAACCATCTGTGTAAATGACAGGATCACCCTCTAGAGCGTTCTCAAAAATCAAGGCTTGAACTTCTTCTTCCACAGCAGCCGGACTCTGTTGTCTGCATTTTCTGACTAGTTGGATGCAAACAGAGACAGATGTACAGCACTCTGAAGGCACTTGCACCCACTCCTCGCCGGGTTTTATGTCCTCAAGTGAACATACCTGTAAAATAATGTCCTCGGCTTGACCCATCCACGATTTGCCTCTTTTTAACCTGCTGCCTTTTATCTTCTTGATTTGACTATGTAATGGATGGTGTGTGTCCGCCTTGACTATGAGGTAGGCACGAGCTCGGGAAATTTGTATTCTGTCTTCCATGGTCGGAAAATCGAGAAGGTAGCGAATAGCCCTGCATGCAGTATCTCTTGTACACCCAAGTAAAATGCGCATAGCCTCGTTCTGTATCCTTTCCATCCTTTCCATCTGTGTATGGCTGAGCGTCAGGATCGTCATCGTGTATTCAAAAACAGAAAGGACCAGAGATCTCTGGAATGGGCCTCTCTATTCGCCTTGTCCAAAGTACTTTTCAGTGTCTTCAATGCTTCTGCAGTTCATCTTCTGCGTGGTCAACCTCTGGATCTGTTACCGCTGTATCCGTAAAATATTGCTGTCTGTGGTGCCCTGTCTGTTGCCAGTCTTGTTACATGGCTAGACCATTTCATCTATTGTCTACCGGTAAAGTTCAGTACAGGTTCTATGCCGACTCTCCTCCTGATAACATGCTGGAGCCAGTTTTTCCTTCCTTGTTTCTTGTTTACAGACTCACAGTTGTTGTTAGTTTATAATTATAAGTTCACGAAGCAGTCTAATTTCCGTCATCAAACTCTTTTACAAACTATCTATGGCTTAAGTGTTGTGAATGTGCTTCATAATGCCAGGGTGTCAGGTTCGTTCTTAGCTGCGGACCTTGCGTTGGTTTCGACAGTGGTATAAAGAAGCCGACCATCCAGAAAGCAGTGGCAAATTTACATTTCAGTAGTTTGCCACTGCTGGATGTAAATTTGCCTAGAAAAACAACAGCCAAAAGATGCCGGGATTGGTTCTGCAACATCCTGTAAAGGATACACAACTAACTTTTTTAATTTTTTAAAATTTAATAATTCACAGACTCAACCATTATGCCAAAATGCATGATGTGCAAACACTGGCCATGATCTGTTGCATGTTTTGGGACAAGGAGTCGACACAGCGCAGTGTGTCTGCCTTAATGCCTCCATCAGCCTTACCGAGAAATGAATCTCGAACATCATTTGAGTATGCCGCAGCGAATGTAAGTATTCATTGCCATCATTTTTATTTTTATCCCTTGTCGGCCTTTACTGACATTTTGGAATGAGTATATAACAAGAAAGTTTTCACTGGGTGCACATATTGGTGGTTTTATTTTATTGTAATTTTTTTTAATCAATGAGCCACATGTTGTTAGTCTCTTGTCTGCACATATTTAGGTATTGTCAGTTATTTGCCTGCTGTTTTTTTTTTTTGTCAAAATTTTTTTTTTTTTTTTTTACATTGTTGTTACAAGGAACAAAATCTGGTTAGGGCCAGTGATATTATATCTCTTCTTTTTTCTGGCTTAACCCTTAAAAGGGGGAGTTGCCGTGGCATAGCGGCTAGACGCTCGCATGCAGATCGGAAGGTCGTGGGATCGCTCCCTGGCGGAGCCAGACTTTTTTTCAAAAATGACCTTGACTCCCAGGATGACCCAGCCTTGAGTGGGTACAGGGTGCAGTCTTGGGAAGTAAAGGCGACCGATTTGATGTTGACCACATCACCCATCTTGTGCCGATTGGTCTGTAAAAATAGAGGTCTAGCCCTAAATGCCCTATACGCCTATAGGCATGAAAAAGGGACCTTTACTTCACTTACCCTTGTTTTGTAATTTACAGCTAGGCTGTAGCATCTGCTATTCTGCCCAACACATCTGATTTCAGCGAAACTCTAATTAGTGACTTTTTTCTCATCCTTATTAGGGCAGCAATGGGTCAGGTCTATTGCCTTTTCTTTTTTCTTTTTTCAAAATGGAGCCCAGGAACCCACATGTGTTATTTTAATAAGCAGATGTTCTGTGATAGTTTTTTCATCTACAAGATTTGTCTTTCTTCTTCCTCTTCTTCTTCGTGTTCACCAGCTGTAAACGCTGGTGGAAAGTTCTGGATGTTCATCCACTTCTGGACTGCAGTCCTGTTCCAAAACCGGAGTGTTGTGTGCACATCCATTTGACAGATCTGACTCATTTGTGTGCAGACTGTTGGTTCCTTGCTTAAGAGCTTCGAGTTTTAAAACTGGTAATTGAGTTTGCTTTGTTTTGTGCGGTAGTGGTCTGAGTACATTTCAGTTCAATGATCTTCTTCACTTCTTCTTTTACTGCTTCAGTTGTGGAAGTTTTCACAATCACTCTCATGCCAACCCTCCTTGTCAGCTTTTTATGACAAGCATGATGAGTTACAGTGTTACTGTGCTTCTTTCCATATCTACTCCAGTAGCACACAGTCAGTTTGCTTCCCCGTTTATCACTTATTTGTATTTTTTAAATCCTTAAAACTGCATCAGCGTACACCAATTATGATACTGACTTGTTCCTTTAAGTAGCACATTTTAGGGGGGTTCTTGAGCTGGAGGATTTTGGGCTGCATGACTGACTAGTGTAAACTTGTGTAGTTGCTGTGAACTGCAGGACAGCATGTTTGTATTTGCCCTTGGCAGAAATATCCCGTCACCTTAACATGTTCTGACCGCTCAGTCAGCTTCTCCTGTCACTGGCACTGAGTAGTTATCCCTTTGTTTCTCTTCTCTTTTCTTTTGAGCTTTCTGAAATGCTAGGAATCTTTTTTTCATCTGTCTGAAATAGATTGTCTGTATCTGCCATGTTATCTTTAGTTAAATTTCAGTAATCATCTTGTTTAGTTCACTTCACTCACTGGTTCATGAAGTTGAGTTTTCACTGTTGTAGTTCACTCACTGGTTCATGAAGTTGAGTTTTCACTGTTGTAGTTCACTCACTGGTTCATGAAGTTGAGTTTTCACTGTTGTAGTTCACTCACTGGTTCATGAAGTTGAGTTTTCACTGTTGTAGTTCACTCACTGGTTCATGAAGTTGAGTTTTCACTGTTGTAGTTCACTCACTGGTTCATGAATTTATGTTTCCACTGTTGTAGTTCACTCACTGGTTCATGAAGTTGAGTTTTCACTGTTGTAGTTCACTCACTGGTTCATGAATTTATGTTTCCACTGTTGTAGTTCACTCACTGGTTCATGAAGTTGAGTTTTCACTGTTGTAGTTCACTCACTGGTTCATGAAGTTGAGTTTTCACTTTTGTGGCTTACTCACTGAATTAATGAAGTAAGTTTCCACTGTTGTAGTTCACTCACTGGGTCATGAATTTATGTTTCCACTGTTGTAGTTCACTCACTGGTTCATGAAGTTGAGTTTTCACTTTTGTGGCTTACTCACTGAATTAATGAAGTAAGTTTCCACTGTTGTAGTTCACTCACTGGTTCATGAAGTTGAGTTTTCACTTTTGTGGCTTACTCACTGAATTAATGAAGTAAGTTTCCACTGTTGTAGTTCACTCACTGGTTCATGAAGTTGAGTTTTCACTTTTGTGGCTTACTCACTGAATTAATGAAGTAAGTTTCCACTGTTGTAGTTCACTCACTGGGTCATGAATTTATGTTTCCACTGTTGTAGTTCACTCACTGGTTCATGAAGTTGAGTTTTCACTTTTGTGGCTTACTCACTGAATTAATGAAGTAAGTTTCCACTGTTGTAGTTCACTCACTGGTTCATGAAGTTGAGTTTTCACTTTTGTGGCTTACTCACTGAATTAATGAAGTAAGTTTCCACTGTTGTAGTTCACTCACTGGGTCATGAATTTATGTTTCCACTGTTGTAGTTCACTCACTGGTTCATGAAGTTGAGTTTTCACTTTTGTGGCTTACTCACTGAATTAATGAAGTAAGTTTCCACTGTTGTAGTTCACTCACTGGTTCATGAAGTTGAGTTTTCACTTTTGTGGCTTACTCACTGAATTAATGAAGTAAGTTTCCACTGTTGTAGTTCACTCACTGGGTCATGAATTTATGTTTCCACTGTTGTAGTTCACTCACTGGGTCATGAATTTATGTTTCCACTGTTGTAGTTCGCTCACTAGTTCATGAAGTTGAGTTTCCACTGTTGTAGTTCATTAACTGGTTCAAGAAGTTAAGTTTACACTTTTATAGTTAACTCAATGATGATTTAATTTTCTCAGTTAGATTTAATGCCCTCGGGAGATTATTCTGTGGGTGGATGTGATTTTGACAGTCGGCTGTTTTATGTTTGAATGTGTGTGTGTTTTTTTTTTTTTAGTGCATGTTTGATATTTTTCTTACTGCACCTTCAGAAGCATGTTGATCACTGGTTTGTTGCTGATTATTGTTTTTCTCAACCATGTTCATTAATTAATTGAATGAATGAATGACTCAAGGATTGACATCACTGCACTCGGGACGTTCCCACATGTGCTCTGTCTCCTCCTTCAGTAAGCAATGAAGAGTCGCCATGCTAATAGTACTAGTTGCAACCTGATTAAAAGTCCGCCTAAGTTTCCCCACTCGGTGTTGAATATCGCACAGAACTTCTATTCACCCCCCCCCCCCCCCCCCCCCCTCCAACCCCTTAAATTAATATTTCAGTAAATGGAATCTCTGTCTGATTCATTACACTGTCCATTTGATCCCATAGACCCTTCTTTATCATAAAGTAACTCATCACCAAGAGGCAGGGCAGCAGCTAATCTATCAGTCTGCTGGTTCCCTTGCACACCTGAATGTCCCGGACAGAAAATCCATTATATGCTCCTGATCTGAGTCTTATCAAGTGGTGCAACCCAGTGTGCACACAGGATGACATTTTCATTTTCAATGAACGTGGATTTAGTCTGTGTAACAACAAAAGACATCTTCTTCTCATCCACCATTTACCTCAGTGAGGTGTTGGGGGGAGATATAAGGATCGTTTGTGCACTTTTTCCAGTGCATTTTACAGAAGCCATCAGCTGTATAAAAGTAGTAAGAGTCATTGGGCTAAATGTCAATTTTAACAAATCAGTGTTATATTTTCTTTGGAATAAACAAGGCAGGCTAAGAAAGGCGTGTTATATTTTCTTTGGAATAAACAAGGCAGGCTGAGAAAGGCTGCATGGGCAAGACCTGGTCTCTACAATGTCAGCACTGCCCAGGCTTTGTGCTGTGGAGGAAAGGAAAATCATCTCTAGTTTGAATTTTGCTAGTCATATTCGCCGTCACTGTGGGCCGTGATTTCCGTGCCTCCCAGGAGTATAGTAGAACACTTCTTCTTCTTCTCTTCCACCGTTTGCCTCTAGCGAGGTGTTGGGGGGGGTTGTGTGTAAGGATCGTTTGTGTGTTTTTTTCTAAAGCATTGTTCAAGTTGGTGTTCATTTCTGTTAGGTTGCTCCTGATGGTGTGCTCCATCTCTTGCATGGTCTTCCCCTTGCTCTGTGTTCATTTTATTTCTTCAGAATGGCTCTCTGTGGCAGTTGGTACCAGGGCATTCTCGTCAGGGGCCAAACCATTTCATTTGTTGTTCTTTAATGAATTGTATGACTGGTTTCAGACTTCTCATTTCTTCATTCCTGATTTTATCTCTTTTAGGCAAACCATCAGCTCTCCTTAGGCATCACCTCTCATTAGCTGCAGTAAGGGTCCATATTTGGCACTGGTAGCACAATGTCTTATAAGATTTTTTTTGTTGTTTTTTTTTTGGACTGAGGCATCGTTCTTTGCGTCAGAAGCGGTGTTAATTGTCCCATAACCTGATTTGCTTTCGCACATCGTGTCTTGATTTCTCTATCCATTCTTCCATCTGAGGTGAAAAATTACCCTAGATATTTAAATTTGCTCGTTAGTTTTATTTCTATGTTATTTACTTTAATTGATATGGCTTCTTCTTGTTTACCTATATTACCATAGTATAACACTGTCTTCTAAAGAAAGAAAAAATTGTCTGCTGAACAGAATCCAGAACATGTCTTGCTTGGGCAGAGCTGTAAAGCAACATGTGGCCACACCCAGTAGGCCTGGCAGCTAGGCTTTGGGGAAACCTAAGAGACTCTGAGATGACATTTCACTTTATGGCCCACAGTGGACTAAGCGCGTGACCAGAGATTGGAGCCGCTGTGGTGTAGTGGCTAGATGCTTGCCTGCCAAGCTTAAGGTCGTGGGTTCAGGCCCCGATGCAGCCGGACTTTTTTCAAAACTGACCCTGGC